ACATGTATTTTTGTATTGTTCAAAAATAAAAAAAATAGGATAAAAAAGTTATTATACATTTTTATACGTTTAAATATCATAATATAAGTATTTGCGCATCTAATAGTTTAAAATGAACGTATTATTTGCTTGTTAATTCATTATTTTATATACTTAGACCAGATAATTTATACGTTAATAACGATCAAGTTAGTGAAAACTTCGATGAGTATATAATTTATATCATCTATACATAATATGTATACATATCATATATGTGTGTATCGTTTATGATTGCAAGAGATGAGCATAATATAATGCGGTTATTTTCATATTCTACTTCAGTGCACTATCCACGTTTACTACGTATTGCAAGTGTGATGTGTTACAAGAAAAGTTTAATGAAAGTTTTAATAAATTGATGCTTGGAAAAACGCGGTGCTTATGTTTTACCTGCGCATATTTATCTCTCATTAACGAATTAAAGTAGATCATATACATAATCTGTTTATGAAAAGTTTTATGTATTAAATTATATATTTCGAGAGTTAGTTATTTATCAGAATACATCATAATGAAGCCTATTTTTTTAATTTTTTTTTGAGTACTACTAGTAAACATTGGTTAAAAACCTATGTCACTCGGATATTATTTTATTAAAAAATCAGATCAGGGTATAAGAAGTTCAGAAAATTAGTCGAGATAATCTGACGATAGCCTATCGACAAGACGATTTTTATAATCGCTCTTATACAGCCACACTTTGAGCTTCCATTACAAATTCTTTTCAAATTTTTTTGTTACTATTGTAAGCTTACAAACACAAGGTAATAGATTTGTTCTTAATAATATGTGTAAAATATATACTTTACAAAATCTAAAAATGTGTTCTGGACACATTCCAACAATTTATTTATGAATGTTATAAATTTAGTGACCAAATTACTGGGTCAGTGGTCGGAAATCGATTGAGTTGTATTAGGACACAATGCCATAGCAAGCAGCCATGCGGAATCGAAATTACATATTTGTGCTGCACATTTTTCTACGCATGATAAAAAAAAAAATATCATGTTTGATAAAGAGGACAGATAAGGAACAAACATAATAAAATGTAAAAAGTCACGGATCATCTGCATTCTGATAAAGTACATTTTGTGACAAAAGTGATGGCCATTAACTCTATACACAAAAAGTATATTGAGCCACGCAATAATCCTATACAATATATAAAAAATATATTATTATGATTGCCAAGGAACATAATTATTTATCGATGTTCGATAGGGTCGCAGACATACAAAAGAATATTGAAAGTCGCATTTGGAGCGCAATATAAAATAAAAATCCTAGTGCCAGTCTCTGGCGTCGTCAGCAAACAGTTAGCAATTGACAAGAAGACACATTTAGGTGTTTACCTAGTATGGATAACGGATATAAGGTGGTAAGGATTACGGGTAAATAGAAGAATATCGAACAAAATTGCGGTGGTAAGAAATTGTCACTTTAATGTGTCACTGTATTGTGGAAGAATTGAAAAATCTGAAACTTTCTCCAAACTTGATCTAATTAATATTTTACACTTCATGTAAGATGTAAGATGTTCCTATGATTTTCGGAAAGTTTTGAGTTGCAGCAGGTACTTTTTATTTATTAGTGGTGTTCAATTTTTGCTTTAGATTCTTTTTTAATAAAATTGAAATTAACTACGAGGCTTTAAGATCTATGTAATTACAAAAATGTACATTATATAACAAAAAAAAGAAAAAAAAATGTCTACCATTTTTTACGTTTTGAATTGCACAATTGAAAGCAGAATCCTTTTCAAAGATTGTTAGGGTTGAATATCAATTGAAAAGTTTTTTTTATTAATAAATGTTTAAAGTTAAGGTGAACGGATTAAAATGACAAGGTATAGCTCAGAAATGTTGTAGTTCACTACTCCGCTCATCAAAACTTTAATTGCTTATTAATTTAAACTTATTTGTTCAACTATAATCGATATATACCTTTGGTGGTTGTTTAACAACATTTTTTAGTAAAAAATGACTTTGCTCTCAGCTGTATACAAGTTGAAGAAAGAATTATTTAAAAAAAAATTGAAAGAACGTAAAAATCACCACAATAAAAATAATTAAATAATTGATTACTTAGATATTTATTGGGCCAAAAGGGTGTTATACATATATACTTAACAAATTTGTATTAACCAAATAATATAATCTAAAAAATTATAGACATACTATTTATCGGCCAAATTGTATTAAAATACTACGTAATAATTATTTTTGAGTGCTATGCGCAACAAATGGTTGGCTGATGACCAATATTATTAAACTGTCAGTTTCTGCGATCGCCGCCGTCATAACGATGTTCATATAGTGACAACAGAAACTTTTGCATGCGTCAAAATAAGATATTTCATAAAATAATTTATTTTTATTATATTGTATTGTTTATTTTTTTCAATAAATTGTATGGCAAAGTACAATAATATTATAAGCAGAACTTGTGTTTGGAAAAAAAAAATTGTTTTATGTTATTTACGATTAAAACGGTTATACAAATTTTGAATTTATCGTTATTCAAAATTAAAATTTTTAATATATTTTATAAATTATAACTATTAAATAATTGGAAATTAATTATTTCGTTTAATGATATACTACTCGTATATTTAACGTTTTGCGTATGTTTTGTTTTATGATGTATCATATATTTTGTTAATCATTATGTTTTGTTTTGTGTTATTTAACTATTGATGTTTATCGTTTTCCGTTATAATTACGTTAAAAATCTCAATCGTTTTTTTTATCAAATATAGCGTTTTTATAACTTTGCAAGCCCTGAATTTATAAGTAATAAATATCTAATACAAAATTACAGGCTTCTAATAAATATTTATTGAGGTTACTGAATTTAATTAAAGACTAATACTTTGCGATGCATCTAATATAAAAATTATAATATTATTATGTTCGATGTATTTATTATTATATTGTTGTGACTAAAACTGTCACATAATACGCATATATACTACTCATTTTTCCATTTTATTGGTTTTTAAATTTATACCTGTCTAATGTATGTTTAATAAGTCAGTGACTGACGTATATCATTGGGAAAACGCTTATAGGCTATACCACTTATCTCAAAATTGTTCGAAAATTAAATTTTAATATCAAAATTTGTATAACCATTTGGTAGTGTTCTTTCTCATATTTAAAATAGATTTTTTTTTTTTTTGGTGCGATGATATATTTTTTTTGTAATAATTCGTATCTGTATAATTTCACAAATAATACGTATCTATCTATTATTAACACAAACAATTATTTATATTTCTGTTGATTTCTGTGTATTACTGTTTTACTACAATAACAATATTTCTAAATACAACCGATGAAAAATTTTAATTATTTTCAATAAATATTAATTAGTTGTTATATATTGTTTCTTTAATTTTAAACAAAATTATATTAAACAAAATGTTCAATAGAACAAACATTTCTCATTAAAGGGCACACACAAATGGAATACGATAGTGTTCATAGTGTTATTGAACGTTATTTGGAAGATAAAGAAATATTTGCCTTCAGAATTTATATGGTTGACTAAAGAAGCACAAAGATATCCTACACACGAAACAATTCAATTACATTCGATGATTTTTTTTAAACTTTAAAGCTAATTCAACAAAGATATAAATCAATCAAACCGTTTATACAAAAGGTGATCCTGAAGTGAAGAATTTACGAGTATTGAAGTATGAATCAATCAGTAAAAAAAATATTTTTTTAGAAGCATACTTACGCATACTTATGAATGCTGCAGAGCCGTTAAAACCAAAGATCACTAATTCAACACCGAATGTTCAAAACTATACCCCATATAAATAGTCAATAGAATTAATACTTTTAAATGGAATGATCTTTAACGCTTACAACCTTATTCGCCAAATGATACTTATTCATTTTATAATAACCAGTCTCATGTAGATACTCTAAGAAAAAAACTTAAGTATTAAAATCTTGATTCAGCAACTAAGCTATATACTTGTATTTATTACAAATCCAAATAATATATTATATTTCATAGTTTTAAGTTCTTATATGTTGTATTTAAATCATTAATTTTTAATTCAAACTGTTAAAATCACACGATCATTATTTAACCATGGTTATACCAAGTTTTAAGTTGTTTTTTTTTTTGGATCCATTTAAAATAAAATAAACTTATTATCATAATTAATGTAATATTAGTTACAAGAAGTATTAGCTGTTTATAATATTTAAGACTGATATAATAATTACACGGTACTATAACAATGTTATTATTTAAATTGAAAAAAACACAATCTAGTTTTCGTAAACTATAATGTGTCAAGTGATTAATGATGATTTTATAAAAAAAATTATAGTTGATAATATGTTTGGTACTTAAAATAATCAGTTTTTTATTCATCCTGATAAATTACGCAAACCGAGGTACGTGCTATTTCCATTTGATCATTAATGATTTTAATTTTTATAAAAACTAATAAAATATACACTTATGACTTTAATTCATGTAACTTAGTCTTTCAGAATTAGCGAAACCCAAGAATTCTAATTACTAATACTCGTGTATCACGCGTATACTCGTATGTTATTCGGGTTTTGTATCAAAATAAATAGTTATGGGAAACGGTTAAGTAGGTATTCATTGGTTTCAAATGATTAACTTATTTGGTGCTAACAAATACGATTATATAGAACGATGTTTGGTTCTGTTAATTCATTGGACGCGTGAAATCACGACAAAGATTCGGTCTCGTAAACCATTTATAGTTATGAACCTTTTAATCTATTTGTACGACAATAAAATCTATTTTAATGTTATTGAAAATATTCTGCATATGTATACTATATATGCGGTATCTGACAATTCTAACTCTAAGCAAAATTGTTATTTATTGTTTCACATAAACATAATAGTGCACAGCATATTGTCGTAAATAGAAACACAAAAAAGAGACTTACGTGAACAATATGGTGGTTCATCTGATTTGTCACCACAGTCATCGTTGCCGTTACAGAATTTGTCTAAAGCTACACAATAGCCCGTATCACACATAAACTCAGACAATTGACAGCCAATACTGTAATTGATCATGCACAGCACACCGCATAGGAATATAAATCTTCGTACTTGCATTGTGGTCTGTAAGCAAATAAAAATCAATCAATTAGATATTTTAATATTGTATAATTTTATTGGTGTTTGTATTTTTTTTTTTTTTTTTTAATAATACAACCTACAAAAAATATTATAAGTTTATATCATAAAGTATACACCGTGATAAATATTGACAATAACAATAATAATGTAATATTACAATAAACCACATTTAATAGAAGTTGTTATAATATTAAAAATATTATGATAAATATGACTTTATTCAAAAAATTAAAATAAAAAATTTAAGACTCGCGATATTTTGTTGGGGGAGATGCCGTGAGACTGTTATTGCACGTTCAGAAATTAAACATTTAAAGAATCATTTCTCGATATAAAAAGCAGTAATATACAGGCTATAAATCAAGAACTGAGCTTTAAAACCGTCAAGACAACCAACAATTCGGTCAAGTTCGGTAAAACTTTTTTTTACGATCAATGAACACCTGTTGTATAGAAAATCATCACAAAAGGCCGAATTTCTTCAGAAACATAAACACTAAACAGCAGTGATTAAAGACACGTCTTCTATATTATAAATACAGTCTGGAATTTATAAGGATGGATAAATATAATATGCAAATATAGAAATAATTTCAACCTTCATTATCATTTCTAGTGCAAATAGGTAAACAACCGACAGCTGGCCAAATTTAATTTACAAAAATTAACATAAAACGTAACAGTAGAAACAACACTTCTTATTCGTTTATCATATTTATTTAATCTGCTTAAAATATAATACCATCTTTTTATTATTATTAGCAATAATTTATTACTATTATTGTTTAGATTGTTTAAAATGTATCATAATATTAAAGCACGACTTGATATTATAATTATACAACGTAGGTATCTCGTGTGTTCCGTACTTTCATATAAAAATAACTATAATATAAATAGCCACTTTTCATTTATTATTGAAAAAAATAATTTTATATGTTCATTAAATAGTATGTTAAATTATTTAATATTACATGCATTTATTTTTTTTTTTCATAGAAAAAAACGTGCTTTAAATATTCATCTCATTATTTTCGTACTATTTTGAACTGCCGACGAATTCGAATTTCAATAATCTATTCTCTTTTAATGTATTTTCAAATTTTCAATAGAGACAGACCGTTGCATACACCTTACTTTGAGTATTTATATATTTTATTCTGTATACCCTTGTCAATCCAGAAAGTTCAATTTAGAATCTTTATTGCACATATCATTTGTTATTCGTATATATAAATATAATACATTAGAGCTCGCCTCGATTTTCACATTTAATATTTCGCTTGCGTACAATATTTCAACAGCACTAATACAGCGTTATAACAGTACATCACGCTTATACGGTAAGACGAATTACTGTAGTATATTTCATGAAGATAAAAATAAAAATAAATATTGAACTAGAATTATAATATTATACTGGCTGAATTATTAATTTATTAGGTATTGATTAACAACGTAACAACGTATTATAACATAAATCATGTCCCTTTCGAGTCCTGGAAGTCGTTATTTTGTGACTAATTACACTGGCTAATGGTAATAAATAAAATAATATGAAAAAGGATGTAGCCGACAAGAGAAATCGCATTGAAATATGAATGTTGTGACAGCGTTGAGATATAAATTATTAAATACATAACATAATATAAACTGCAAAACCTCATAAAAACATATTATTATACATACATCGGTCATAGTATCGACTTTTGCACTGCAATGTGCGTTATGATGTATATAAATCATGATGATGAGGATGATGATGATGATGATGATGATAATAATAACAATAGTTATAACACAAAACACCTAATAATAAATTATAATGAGTATAACTGTGTTATTGTATGACATCATTGAAATCATAACGCGTACGGTTTAGATGATATTTTGCGTGTTAGCAGTGTTACGTATTTTATAGTATACCTAGTTGATTTGTCAATGTTAACTCCATGATGCACTCCACGTCAATCTGTATAATTGTCTCCGTTGTGATTATAATTAGATGCGTATAATTCCACTTACGTGGTTTCAGTGCAATTCTATTTTGTGTGTGTGTGTTGTGTGTGTGTGTGTTGTGTGTGTGTGTGTGTATGTGTAGTTCGCAGTGAAACATTATTTTGACCCCGCATACACAGTAGTCGTCATCAACGTGATCTAAAAATATTCTCGCTGAACATTGATTCAACTTGGCGATATTAGCTATTTTATCATCTAACACTTCTATTGATTTTCTTCTAACACTATCTTTCCTCCTCGTTTACTTGGAAAACTATTTAAATCCCCCAAAGCCCATATCAATTAGAATAAAGTCATTGCTGAACGTTATTATAGACACCAATGAAAACGCTTTGAAAATTCCGTCTACTAATTGAGACGCGAATAAGGTATTGTACGCCTAAATGTAATTTAACAATTCGTTGTACTTACTACTTACGTTCTCGCAATAATTGTTGTATACTACAGCAATCATTAATTGTCGAAATGATGCTGTTGAAACAGACAGCAACAATATGTAATAAAATAATAATATATTTTTTTTTTCTGAACAATTTTACTAATTTTTACATTTCCATTTCACTTTATTGTTTTAATAATAAAAGAAAATAATAATTTTCTATGATTTTAAAAACATCAGCGTGTATACATTTTAACGAACATGATCCAACTGTTATTTAAATTAATATTACTATGTAAATAGGCTTACTATATATATAGTATAATATATATAAATATATATTATACTAAAGAGTTTAATAATTTATTTTATAACACATTAATTTACATACAAAAACCCTTTTATTCACAAATTAAAATTTGTTAAATTAAATATTTAACTATAAAAAGTTAGTTTTAAGAATGAAAATTAAATTAATTTTGTTTGGCTTATTTGCAAATAATTACCCACGAGAGTTTAAAAATGGGAAATGTTACGAAAAAAAAAATACTGAATGTTCCGAGTATGTTTTGCATTACACTGCGATTATATTCATGGAAGTAGAGGATTTGGTTGTGGTAATTCATTAGGTAAATCCCGAAACGCGTTAGTTATAGTGCGCGGTGGTATTACCTAATTATAATATTTATTTATTTAAGCCATGGTACTGCGCGAGGAGTCTACCCGCCAATCATTACTGCAGGGTTACGTGTCAATAATGTGATTCCAGTAGGCTTTTTGGTTGAGGCTAAAATTTAAGAACCACTAACCGAGAACCGTTGGAATAGAATTCATTTGTCTTGCTGTCGTTTGCTAACCTCGGCTGACAAATAATGCGTATGGAAATTAATGGAACGTTGGATTCCACATCTCCAAAGTATATTATATTATATTCCCGTCGATTGAACCTTTACGGAATATATTGCTTGATCTGGTGGGCGTTATAAATGTGCGTATCAGTTATCCCCCCCATTTCTGAGTGTAGCAACGTAACCCCCTAGCATTATCAACTCCGTCACACAGACAAGACCCCTTTATTCTATCGGTGAAAATGTAGTTTGAAAATTGACTCTCAGCAAACGGTTCCGAAATTGAATCAGAAGACGCGTACTTGGAAACGCATCAAAACCATTTCAAGTCAATTTCAACAAGTTTTCGCAAAAAGACACCAACCATATCATATAAACCGATATATCATTAAACAACGACGATAGTATCATAGTATCGAGTTTACGTAGTACCTACCTAATTAAAGTGATTGGTTGTAAACACATATTATTTAACACTATTATACATCATATACGTGTCATATTATTATTATTAACTATAAAGTTATGGGTAAGCGTAGATAATATTATTTAAATTACTTAATTTACAGTTAAAGTGTCGAATTAGATAGTTTACTTAGGTAATATTTATTTTATAAATCATACTTTAACTAGTTATTTTATATATTATCTAACATAACTTCGTTAATGTTTCAAATTGTAGAAAATATGATCACCAATTACCGACAACGCTAGATTTCCCGAGCAACGTCTTATGTGTTGTCTCAGATCAGTCTATTCGCATCAGATATAAATTAGCACTCAGCTTCAGCAAATGCTCATGTACGTTTATCGTTTTATCATAAAATTATCGTTTAATTATAGTTTTGCAGTCATACGTGTTCACATTTGGTTCATCTGTCTCCACACTGTTGTTTTAAATGTTAATATAGTTCACGATGAATTCGAATGAATTAGGTTTAATAAAATAAAAGTTTTATATTCGTGTTAAAAATCGTTTATTAAAACCAAATGGTGCAATTTTAACTCCAGGATTAAATAAAAATAAAAAATGATCTTCTAGTGATTGTTGGTAAGAAAAATATTTCAGTGTAGTAAAAATAAACGGAATTGAAAAATTAATACTACCCATAAATAATCAAAATATAAATGTTAAATTATATCATATAGTTTAAAATTTTTAATTATATAATTTATATGTCACGGTTGAAGAAACTTTTGATTATTTACACGAGACTCATATTTTTATTGGCCACGGAGGTAGGGATTACATGTTATATGAAATTAATAAACGTTATAAAAATATTATTCAATCTGATGTTATACAATATTTGGAATTTTGTGTATACCTTGTCAGGAAAAAAAATGATGTTGTAAAATCAATAGTGTTTGAAGATTTTAACTGTCATATTGCCAAATTGATTTAAATAATTTTTAATTTCTGCCCAATACAAGGTATACACTTGTTTTAATTTATCAAGACTATCTGAACAAATTTTATATTTTGAGATCATTGAAATTTAAAAAATAAAAGAACTGGAGGATTTGCATTTGTTCTTTCGGATATTTTTTGTTTATTTGGTACCTATTCCTAGTACCTATTACAGTATCTATTATAATAAGATAATGGTCGAGAATTTTATGATAAAATTGTAAATTCTTTAAAAGAAAAAATGGTCCGAATTGATTATTATACATGAAAAACCATGATATAGCCCATCTCAGGGCAGCTTGGAGAAAGCAAACCAGGATATTTA